CTGGGCCCCCCCCAATTGGCGGAACGCCAGGGCCCGGTCGCAATTGCGACCGCTGCGACCCTGGTAGTTGCGCCAGTGCAAAAAGTGTTTTCCCTCATCATTTCTATAAAAAAAAAAAGCCAAAGTCAGTTGCTTGATTTTGATCCATGCCCAATCTGTTAAATAAATACAATGATTTACCATAGTTGTGGGGACTAGCCTGGGACTAACTTGGAAGAAAACTGAAGATAATCTAAATTTTCAAACTATTATTTCTCTTTCACCACTTATTGAGTCTTAATATCTTGTCATTTAAGCAATGGGGGGGGAAACCGTTGTTAGGTTGTGCTTAGGCCATCAGTTGTCCTTAATCAGGCCTTGAAGAGGGGGTTGTATGTGGATGAACATTAGAAGATGTATGCTAGCAAAGTGATATATTATTTTTTTTAAATCTCTGTAACTCCTTTGATGATGAATATAAACTTGGCATGATCCCTTTAGCAAGTGCTGTCAAACAGAATGACAGTTGGCAGAGCTGGGCAGGATCAGGCAGTGCTGGGTGAGATTGCCGTGACAAGCTTGCATCTAAGCTGCACTGAAAGCCCATCCCTTTACTGTATAACATCATCACTTTGTGCTGTAATTCCAGCCATCAGCAATGCAAATGGTGACATCACTGATTTAGGGAAGGGTGCTACAGCATTATTACCTGCTGGGAGGAAGTGATGACCTACAGCTTTGGATACAAGCAATTAAAGTTAGATATTGCTGATTAACTAGGATATTAATAGAATTATTTGTAAAGACCTCTCTTCATCTGTACTAGTGATGCTGCATTACATTTTTATAGCCTGTAGTTCTACTTTAAGTTTTGATGCTTGAGAATATTGTCTCAATTCGCTAAGCTATAATGCGTATGTTATTTGCCCTAAGGATTGTTATTTTCAGCTATTAGATTGATATTTTCAGCTCCCACTGCTAGAAATGATGATTGTTAAAACAAATAACGATTGTTCTAGCTATAGACTGAATTGAGCTGTATGTTTGGCTCCCTGATATTTCTATACATTTTCCTTAATCTTTCTTCTAAGGTGTTATTGCCTGAGGTGCACAGATGAGCAAACCAATGCATCAGGCTCATTATGCTACCCTGAGCAAGCTGATTTGCGAAAAGCATATAGCTACAAATAGCCTCCTGACTAAACAAAAAAGAAAGGTTTACCCTCTCCACAACAAGCTGATATCCCAATACCATGCAAACAAAAAGCATGGCAGCTACCTTATTTATCAGGTGCATGTTTAAAGAAGGAAGCTGAAAAAATCCCTTCACCCTTTTAAAACGACATCTACATTTCACTTGCTCTTCTTTCCTGAAGAAAGTGTGAGAGTGGGGAGTCATGTGCATCTTCCTTGCCCCACTGGTTGCTAATATTAAAGGTGCACAAAAGGGATCCCTTACTTTTGCAATAAATCCTCAAAGGCCTTTTTGCCATTTCATGCTTCTTTTCCTCTTCATTAAATAAAAAACTGGTCTGAGCTGTTAGTTCCCCACTTTGTGGTTGGTTATTACCAAATACCTGTGATTTTGGTAAGATGTGACAAAGTAGACCACCTTTGGCCACTCACAGTCATGGAAGAAGACAACATGTAGTTGGGCAGAAGCTGTTGTACCATTATGGTATTAAGAGAAGTTCCATAGTATGTGCATCTGTGGTACACATGCTTTACTATCATACAATGGTGTTTGTGTTTTTGGCATTTTAGCAGTTGGATCTTTAGAGAACATCTCACTGTCTTTAAATGTCTTATGGGGATCTTTATTTTTTCAGTAAATGTAAATATCACATAAAAAAACAAAAGAATGCATCTTGTGGTCCGGTAAATATTAAATACCATATTACTATTTTTGCTAATTCTAAATTTGCAGTAAATTTAGCCATTAGATGCTCATTGTCCCTGCCTGCAGCATTTGCATGGTAGGACAACAATTGTAGTGGCTATGGGATATCGGTGAGTTTTGGGAGAGTTTTGAGGAGGGTTAAAAATGAAAATTACTATGACATCCATATATCCTTTGCACATTGTCTTTGTCTAAGTAGCTCTGTATTGTTCTACTGGAAACCTATATGGAATTCTTGTACTCGCATTAATACAAAACAATGCTAATAGACATATGATTTATGCTTTTGGCAAAGAAAGGTCTTTTCAGACTAGATTTGTTTATCCCCTAATTGTTTTGAGGTCTTTCGGCAAGTTGTATGGGTTTTTTGCTTGCTAGGGTATTTTTTCCAATGTTCTTCCAGATTTAATTTAAAAACTTACTCCTCCAGGCTAAGGGAGCGAATAAACAGGATTTATTTCTGCCAGGCACAAATGATTAAAACAACTGAAGCACTTCCATTCCAGGTTATAAACTGTGTATGTCTGCCTTTTCCGCTAGATATAGATATAGATGAAATATGTGCAAGCTCACATGAGTGTACATTCAAACGATTTCACGTTCAAGTTTTGGCATTGCTAATAACTAAGGTGACGCTTGGTCTGCATGGTTGACATGATTGTTTATTTTTTCTACTTATGACTTGAAGTTTTGAATTATTGATGGGCTCATTGTATTTCTAAAAAACAATAAATCATGCTATATCTGTATGTTTTGTCTACAATGCATAATCTGTCCCAAGATCAAAGCTGGATTGCATGCTTATATTTGCGTAATTTCGTAAAAGCCAAGATCATGCAGTATTATTTTTAAGATGAATATATGGTGAAGCTTTAGGACAGTTCTTATTGTATTTTCTTTTTGCATCACCCATGAGCCTTCACAAAAAGGCTGCACCCACACTGACAATGTTGCATGGGCGCAGTCACTGTAATACATCAATTTCTTACCATCACATCATCAGTGGGGTTTTGTTATTATCCTGCACCTCATGATTGCTGGCTCAGTAACAGATGAGATACACAGAGATTAGAAACATTTATTTCTGCTGGGAAATCTGTTTCTAGATATAAAGGTAGAAAAAATGTTCTTCACAAAAAAACTGAGTGAATGCATTATTTCTAAAACCATAGTGAGGATTTTTTTTTTGTTACATGCATTAAGCGCAACTACATTTCTGACCTACATTAAGCGACGAGACAGGAAAATACATTTTTGTAATATTTCACCATTTCGTCTCCACTATCATTTTACAGAATTATGAAGCTTTTAAAAATGTTGCTTGTTTTCCATGAGAAAGTATAGAAATGGCATAATCGCTGTGTGATCAGGGATGTTCTCCAGACAGTTCTGAGTTTCTCTCTAATATCCATGCCTAGTTATTTAAGCATTCTTCTCTTTTACCAAAAGCTGTTAGATCATTACTAGCTACACATTGAGTTGAGTTATAAACTCCAAATTAATAGTCCTACCTGTTCAACACCAACCACTCACTTGTTCGTTTCTAGGGCTGCATCAATTTCCAGCTATTCTGACTTTTAGGACTTGATACAAGTTGTTTCTATTGAGCAGTATTTGTCAGTTTGCCTGAAAGATGTTAAGACCTCCAAAAAAATGTTGGCTAAAAAAAAGTACCAAATTTATAAGAACTTGTCTCCAGACCTTCAAATTTGGCGTGCTCACACTTTGATTATTGTTTAAAAAAAAAATAAGGTAAGCTGTAGATTTGAAAAGATTTAAAGGAGAACTATGAGGCTGAGTGAAAATCACTCAGCCTCATAGTTCGAGCCGACGTGTGACAATGAAACTGTCGCACGTCGGCTCAAAAGATCAGGAAGTGAGCGAGCGCATACCGTCGCTCGTTCACTTCTCGATCATGTCCATACAGAGAGCCGTGACTGACAGTCACGGCTCCCCGCAGGGATTCCCCGCTCCGATCCTCCAGCGCTGACTGGAGGAATGGATTGGGCAGGGGGCGGGTACAGCTGGCTCTGACTCTAGATAGGCAGAGCCAGCTGTCACTCACGCAGCTGGGTGGATCTCCACAGTAATGTCGGGATCCCTCCCGGCTGCCGCGGTCTTAGTATACCGCGAGCTATAGCTCCCGATATACTGAGCTTTGGATAATGGGAGGAGGCTAGTTTATGTCCTCCTGTGCCCGTAAAGAGAACTATGGGGAAAAACACTTACCCCCATAGTTCTCTTTTAAAGTTAGCTCTGAAGTTAAATTAACATGTTAAAATTTTATAGGATTTTGGTGATTGGGTTTACATATACTTTACTTACAGAGTGCAATAATGTTCTGATAGTGGCCATTTGAAACTAATCTATATACCCTGACTCAAATCCTAATCAAATCAAATCCTCACTGGAAAACTAAAGCCAGTTGTTTGGGGACATTACAGACAGGACTTTTTGATAAATGAAGTCCATTGGTAATATGTACCCTGGAAGTCATTGTAGAATATCTTATCAGGGCATGTCTTGTGTAGAACCTTTCATGTAGTTGTTGCATTATGTTATCTGGTTCCATGACTTATCTATATTTCTAAAAAACATCAAATAGGCAGTTCTTTAAAGTATGGCCCTATCTACTTGCTTTGATATATACAATGTATTTATTGTGTGCCCTGTTGATTGTGTTTTTCATCCTTTTGCAGGTATCCTACTTGAAGATATGAGCAACGAGTCCGTAACCATCCATGTTCATTAGAATCGAATGTGGTAAAAGAAATGAATGTAAATGACTGAAAAGAAAAATGGCAGCTGTCATATATTTGGAAACACAGATGAGAGACTGATCTCCGGCATACATAAGATATTTATTTTTTTGGGCTATAATTCTTTAGAGAGTTATAGATAACCTTTAAAAAGAAATGTGATATGTAATTCTACAGGGATCCCATTATTAAATTCCCAAGCCTGAGCTGATCTTCCATAGACATTCCTAACAATATGTTCTGGGTTGTACAGTGTCCCTAAAATCACCTCAGTGTCATTACGAAGAGAAGTAATTATATTGGTCCTACTATTGCAAGAGTTGGCGGAAGCAGTGTAGAGTGGGCAGATTTTCCCTTCACTTGCAATTCTCTGCCGAAAAGGGTTACTTTTTGTGATGCAGCTGTTTCCAAAAACAATTTGTAGTTCAGTAATACTTAAAATAATACAGATCTAGACAAGTCTGTGTTGGCTGGTTATGTATAATAACATAATTTACTACAAGTAAATGTAATACAAATGTACATTAACCTGAATCTGTGTGAAACCCAAACATGTAATCTAAGACAACTTTACTAGCTGTAAGCTTATACATTTAATTTCAATATCTGCCACTCCAGCACTGCCTGCAGCCATCCGAGACAGCGAGACAATGCATTGTGGGCAATGAAGGCTACAGATGTGTCTGGTCTCCAACATTAGACAGTTTGGACTGTGCTGGAGCGACACATAGAAAATATTTTTTATTCTATGGTTCTGTACTCATTTTTTTCACTTTCATTTTAATATCCTGGTTGAGTACCTGACAAGTGCTCAGCTGTATTTTCTTGATTTAAAGATTTTTTGCCTAAATCTATGGGAACACAATACACAGCAGAAGAAAACATACCTCCATTTACAAATGTTGGGAAACATTCATGTAATAAATACCTGTGTGTGAGCCCTTATAAGAGCATTTTTTTAGTTTTTAGTAAGAGTGGTAATTATGTATGTTGCCCACTGGTGAAATATGGTATTGTGACACATTGGTGAGTCACAATGGTTCTGTATGAATGGTCACACAACTAAGTACATTTCCATGGCACTACACGGGTGCCTATATTGATCTAATCCATAACCTATAATTTACTGTAATGCTAAAAACGTTTGGTTTAGATATGATTTATTTTTAAAGGGTACTAATGTTAAAAATGTTCTTGCCTTGTACAGGGAATTATGTACTGCATGCATTGTCATACTATGCTTCTATGCTATATGTTAATTGAGAGCTGTTTCTGTCCTCTCTTACCCTTCTCCCCATATTTTCATGACCAAACTACTGAGGCCAAATAATTTTACATCCCACTTCTGGTGATCTCACTTATAACATCATAACCTTTGTTACTGTGTAACATCCCAGATCTATCCTGCTACATTCTTGCTACCGTTAAACATTAGACAGTGGAGCTTTAATTGGTGATAACATGTGTAGGAAATAGAAAAGCAATGGAGCAACACATGATGATAAACTTAAGCAGCCTTAGATATTCATAGGTATTAGAAAACATCATATTTTTATTTACCTGATTTTATACCAAATATAATGAAAAATGTAAACTATTCCAGCACAGGCTTATATGCCCCTGATAACTTCAGCATTTTGCTGTATGTACATCTTGTCATATAGAATTAAATAGGGCCTATTTACACTAGAACACAATGCACTGCAATGCAAAACAAGCTGGAAGTAGGATGATGTAATTTAGGGGGTTAAATGCATGTCAGAAAGAAGTTGACTGCTGGCCAAATGCACCTATCAATGAAATGTGAATGATCTCAGGGGAGTATCAAACTTATTTCTAAAGCTGGCCATACACCTATAGATTTTCTATGGCCAGATACTCACGCAGCTGGGTGGATCTCCACAGTAATGTCGGGATCCCTCCCGGCTGCCGCGGTCTTAGTATACCGCGAGCTATAGCTCCCGATATACTGAGCTTTGGATAATGGGAGGAGGCTAGTTTATGTCCTCCTGTGCCCGTTATCAATGAAATGTGAATGATCTCAGGGGAGTATCAAACTTATTTCTAAAGCTGGCCATACACCTATAGATTTTCTATGGCCAGATGGAAAAAGTGCAACAGATTCCTCTATTTACGCTAAACTGGGTGGGAGGAATCTTCCACTGGAACAAGCGTCAGTGTCTTGCTAGTCGGGCCCCCTGGCTCTCAAAACACCTGAACAATGCCTTCATCCAATCAGACTGTTTGCGTATTTTGACAGCCAGCGGGGCTAACTAGCAAGATACTGAAGCTTGGCCCAGCAGAAGATTCCTCCAGTCACACAGTTTAGCGTAGATGGAGCAATCTGTTGTACTCTTTCCATCTGACCTTAGGGTGATAGAAAAAAAATCAATAGCCAGCTTAATGCACTCTGAATGCATCTGAAGGCAACAGCCTATCAAAGCAAGCTCTATTAGGCTATATATGACTGGGGACAGATTTCTCACCAATAATAATGAGCTTTGAGTTGTTGAATTTCCACATCTTCGTTATAGCTGCTGATTTAAACCCTCTAAAAGAAATCTATTCATTAAGAAGAATAAGTTTTTGTCCACTCCATTTTATATCTTGATAATTTACTCTTAAAAAATGTAATTCACAAACATTATCATATCAAACAATCATATTGTTTGTGTGAAATACTTTTCTTTAAATATGGATGCACATTTTTCTGTTAAAAGTCTTACATTTTCATGAATCATTATTGTGTCACCAAGGGCCATATGTAAAAATGAAAGAGGACAATACTTCCCGCTGGACACGACAATATTACTTTGCACCGCAATTTGCACTTTATGTTCTATTTGTAAAATGCATGTCTCATTCATACAATGCAAGCCGTGATGTAGAGCCTACAGTGCCCCACTGAGTTATCTTTGCTTAACGCTGCTAAAAGAAACATGAAGACAACTTGGCCAAACAAAAATTTGGGAATCGAGCCTTTACATTTGAAAAAAAAAACACCCAAGGGGGATTAATAACTTATCCACTAATACATAAAAGCTTAATTCCCGCATTAAACAGTCTGTTCAGGAAAGCAACATTTTAAACAAGGTCTAGCTAATTGAATGAAGATAAGGAAAGCTTTAACTTTTTCTTTCAATTATGTAAATGGTTGTAGTTGTCATTTACATGTTCCTATAACATCTTGTAAAAGTTGTTTCCATGTTAATGGCATTGTTGCCTGTGTATCTTGTTTTATAAAATAAACCAAACCATTTCTGAAGAACTTCATCCGCATTCTGTCATCTAATGAAGGATTTAATGGCTTGATTGTAATATGAGCCGCTGTGTTAGCTGTTTTGTATGTGTTGCTGTAGATTGTAGATGCAAATTAAACAAAAATGTATATCATATAGTTTATATATTTCTCATGCACTGTTAGACATACAATATCCGAGCATCATGCTGGCAAATTTATATTGGAAGCCTGCAGAGAAATTAAATAGAGCTTCTTAAAATACAGTGATAAAAATAACCTGTATTGTTTTTTTTCCTTTTAATTAAAACTGTATTTAACTGAATGTATTTTGGCACACTCACTTGTAAGATAAAGCTCACCACCATTAAAGTGTAACTCAGTTTTAGGTAAACTATATTCATGACAAAACTTTAGCAAACCTCTTTACTGATTTGATATAGGGATGCACTGATACCGGTATTGGTATCGGTACCAATACTGGGCAGTCTCACAAGTACTCAATACTAGGCACCGATACCGCGCTTTAAATAAAGCCGTTGCTGTACACCGGTGCCGCGGTTCACAGGAAGGCTGCCGAGGTGCCCAGCAAGCAGGGGACCTCATCAGCCTTCCTGTGAACGTCAGCCGCCCATACCTGCCCATGAGACCAACCGGATCCCTGGTGAGACCCGGCACAGTCCTCCTAAGACCCCACACAGCCCACCTGAGACCTCACACAGCCTTCCTCAGACTCCACACAGCCTCCTAAGACCCTACACAACTAGCTGAGATCTTGGGATTTGTAGTTTTCTATAGCCGGTTGCCATTCAGCTTTGCTGTATAATGTATTACTGGGATTTGTAGTCCTCCCTAGCTGATGGTATTCTTCTGTATTGCTGGGATTTGTAGTCCTCTATAGCTGATGGTATTATTCTGTATTAATGAGATTTGTATTCCTCTATGGCAGGTGATATTCTGCATTGCTGTATAATGTATTGCTGAGATTTGTAGTCCCTTTACAGGTCGGAGTCAGTGGCAGAACTACCGGGGTTGCAGCGGTTGCAGCTGCGACTAGGTCCTGGTACTTCACCACTGTCCTAAAATCATTAGTCTGTATTGTTTTAGAACACATGGCACTAAAAAAAAAGTATCAGTAATTGGTATTGGCGAGTACTTGAGAAAAAGTATCGGTACTCAGTCTGGAAAAAATTGTATCGGTGCATCCCTAGTTTAACCACTTGCTGACCGGGGTGTTTACACCCCCTTCCTGTCCGGGCCATTTTTCAGTGTTCAGAGCTGCGGTACTTTGACTGACATGTATTCCGTCATGCAACGCTGTACTGAAATTAATTTTATACCATTTTTTGGGGACAGATAGAGCTTTCTTTTGGTGGTATTTAATCACCCCTGCGGTTTTTATTTTTTACTATATAATGAAAAAAGTACCGAAAATTTGGAAAAAAAACTGTTTAACCTACATTATGTTATAAAACAGTTATTATTACACAAATCTTTGTCAAAATATAAAAGACGGGGTCACGTCCGTGAACTCGCAAAAACTACCATACCCAAAATTGGCCTTAGGCGACGTTTTAAAAGCTTTTACCGCTCATCAGTTTAGTGTTATCAGTGATTGATGGCCCTAAAATTATTGCTCTCACTGCAACGTTCGCGGCGATACGTAACATATGTAGCGTAATGGATGCAATTAGTCGTTTACGCACTTAGGCGCACTCGGCGCATGTTTGCATGTTTATGTGGGGGGCGGGGGACTTAAAAAAAAGTGTAAATTTTTTTATTACCGTTTATATGTGACCTTTAATTTTTTTGTAACTAATTCTTTTAAACATTTTTTTTTTCACTTAACTTTATTGCTATCACATAGGGGACTAACAAGCCCCCTTTGTGATAGCCAATTTTCAGTGACAGGTCCTCTTTATGGAGACATCAAGGCCCCAAAATTTCTGACGGCTGTCCTGGGAGCAGATCAAACGGAGCTCGTGTACTGAGCTCCGTTTGATCTCTGGCCGCAGAGCTGCTGTGTTGGGCGAGCGGCGGGCACGAGCGGGACGGGATGGGACGTTTAAAAACGCCCACCCGCTCTCAAGAAGCC